CACACACACACACACAGAGTGGTGCACCATTACTAAGCTGAATTTCTAAAAACCACCAAAGCAAAGCCTCTAGCCAAACTTTATTCCCTGCACCACACTGGAGTCAGCAACATGACACATTTAAACACAAACTGTGTGTGTGTGTGTGTGTGTGTGTGCGTGTGCGTGTGCGTGTGCGTGCCCATACAACTTGAATTTCCTATCTATGGAACTTAAAGTGTCTTAAACTGTAACGGTTCCTGGTCGTCCTCCACCTCTTCCTGTCTCTGCGTGTGTGACGTCTTAAAACCAGAACATGCAGCAGACAGTTGTAACCTTACGATGCTATGATCTGTTCCTGTTACGCTCCACCTTCAGTGTGTGGTCTCCATCATATGACCTCAACTTACACTTACTGCATCACGTGACTTCACCAGAGCAGGACCCTTCTTCTGAACAAAGTTTTGGCACTTTGTGATCTGACAGCCTCCTATTGCATGAATTATAAAACAGGTCAGCAAGTCCTATGTTCATGTTTCACAGTTGTGTTACTCATCCTGGTATTTAGCCAGCCAGATTATACACACAGGACAGAAAGTAAGTGGCTTGGAAGCGCTCGGTCTATGTTCTATTTTAGACTTCAGGCCTTTTGCTTTTTACTTTTCATGTCTGAAAGCTCACCATCTGCTCTGTGCTCTCCGCGTGTACAGCTCCAGAGCCGAATAACCAAAGACAAAAACTGTGTGAATCCCTTCTTCTGATGAGTGATACGTCAGTTCAGTCGCAGCACATACTTTCCTTCAAATCAATGTTTCCAAGTGTGTGTGTGTGTGTGTTTGTGTCTGACTAACCTGAGAGTAGAAATTAACCATAGTGGTGGTTTCTATGTCCTTCTTTCCCAGTATTTCCATTTTGACTGGAGCTGATGGGAACTTGGATGAGAAGTAGTCCAGGAAGTCAGGTAGGTAGCCGGCTTCTCCGTGGACAATCCCCATGACGTAATGAGCTGCCTGGAAAACACGGGTCAGTCGCACAATATTAAAATGTAGATTTTTAAAATTGGAAGAAAAATATGCACCCCACTGCATTGAAGGCAACCTCCGTGGAACAATCGGATCGAGATCTGCGCTGCGCCGTACCTGGGATGAGTCCTCGCTGAAAGCCAAGGTGACGAACTCCTGGGCGAATCTCTGCCTCTGGCCCACGGAGAGAGCGGAGAGCTGAGACGTGTAGGCGTGGGCCACCAGGGCCCCTCCGTTAGGCTGGTTCTCTATGTGGATGTACGGGGCGAACTCCAGTCCCGCCATGCCGGGGTAGGCGCACTGCGGCTGGTGTTTGGTCGGGGAAGGTTGCGGCGTCTTGATGGAGGGCGACTGAGAGTTGTGGAGAGAGGAGTTAAAGGGAGATTTGGAGACGAGGGGAGGGGAGGAAGGCGGGAGGTGTGCAGTTTTGTTGTTCGGTGGAGGGAAAACCGGTAGAGGGGACTTAAACGGGGACAGGGAGGAGTTGTGTGTGGGGTTGGAGGATGGAGGAGGAGAGGTGGGGTGGAGGAGCAGGCCAGCGCAAATGGTTTGGCAGGAGCGGTGGTACATCTTCACTCGTTTGTGCTTCTCCCCCTCTTTGTGTTTCTTCTTCTTTTTCTTCTTCACTTTTTTGATTTGCAGCTCCTCTGCGTTGATCTTGGCTTTCTCTTTTTCATCTGGACAGAGCGATAGAGAGAAAGAGGGAAGCGTCTTATTACTTAGAAGGAAGAGTCTTTTTTTTTTTTTTTACAAAGGAGGCGGAGTGGGGGGCAGAAACGTGAGGGATGGGTGAGAACGGAACACCCGCGTCCTTTAGGAAACACTGAAAGGAGTGAGGAGTTCACGCATGTCTCCTCCTCCATCGCCCCTTTTTTCCGTTCATTCATGCCGGTGTTTGATGGAGTGAACGGCGTTTAACCGGGACAGCGGCAGCCCATTCATTTCTCTCTCATGAATCAGCGCCCCTTTAAACACACACACACACACACACACACACACATATATTCTGCAGACTGGGGGACAGCAGGGGGGGTGTATTGTGTTCAATGGTCGTAGCAGCGTAAGAAAGCGTGTTTCAAATGTTCATCCACCGTTAAAATGACGTTTGGTTGTAATATCGGTGCTCAACTCTCGCGTCCCGGCTGCAGCGTTTATAAAGTCATTAATAATTGTCTAACGGCGGAAGGTCCAACAGGAAACGTGTAATGACATTGTGACAAGGCTGATCTAATCATTTTGGATTCGTATGACACAGAGGCGGCCCGGCCCTCGACGGGGCCGCGGGACATTGTTTCCTCCGCTGTTACGCTCGTTTTGGTGACCTGAAAAAGTAACGTGCGCGCGTCACCGATCTGACTTTGCTTTACTCTCTCGGTTTCCCCCAAACAGAGCGGAGATACAGCGAGGAGGGCTCACTCCGTCCCCTTTTTGTTTTCTTTTCCTGTATGTGATCAGCACCTTCACAGCCACGGGTCAATGACCGCGGCACAACCATATGGGAATACACAGACTGTGGGATTTTCTATATTTACAACATCCATATGAGGACACTGTTAGAGTTCCCTTATGTTGAAACTTCATTCCAGATATGTTTATTAAACATACAAGGACTCGGTTTTGAATAATAATTAGCGTCTGATGTGGTTTTTCCACACAAAAGTTGAATAATTATCGCTCCTCCCTCGTTGAAAAATCCTAAAACCAGGCCTACTTGCAAATATTGTTCATTTCAAGAGTTGAAGTGCAGGACGTCTCCTGCTTTACTTTGAAGTCCATTATCTCCTGTAAGTTACATATTGGACCATGATTGGCTTCCAAACTATTTGTGATGTTAAAAAATCTGCTAATAGATAGATTTTTGTTTCTATGGGCTACACTCCTTCATAAATAATGCCAAGTTATCTACAGTACCCTATTCAATAGGGCTGCACCATATGGTCAAAACATCATAGGCTATTAATCAGTTATTTTGACAGATATTGTGAGTGCGATATGATTTAGGAATGATTTTGCATCACAAATTTAATTTCCACTGAAAAAAGCTATTCAAATCATGATGATGTGACATTTGTAGCAAACAAACATGTTTTCTTTCATCTGGAGACACGTGATTTGTAGTCCAGGGCATCTCTTCAGAACTACAATATCACACATTTTACCTTTATCAAAAAACTGCAGCTTCTGTGATTTGTCATATTGTGATTTCCACAATATTGCGATTCATTTCGAATATTCCGCTCTCATAAAGGGATGGTCAGTAAGTGTTACTGTGCTTTACATGAATATATTAAACATCATTTTGACTCAGTATAACATTGTAAGACTGTAGGCCAAAAACTTCAATGCCCAGGGTTTTGTGAGAACAAAAATATTAAAATATTTGTAGCATTTGTAGTATCTCTTCATCAATCTGTCAAACACAACAAAAACACGTGTGAAAAACGAAAAAATCCAAACGTGGTCGCTAATAATTCAAATAATTCAAGTGTCCTCGTTTACCCCAGTTTAAGTGACACATCGCCTCCAGCGTTGACGATCTTCGGCCCTCACCTACATAGTGTAATTCGAGACCTTTGCACGAGACTTTACGTAAGAAGGAAGGCTGCACGTGCCAGCGAGAAACGTGTTGACCTATATATTATATAACTCGACGGTCACGTGGCCACGGTTGGCTCGTTAACCCGTTTCAAACCCGTCCGCGGAGAAAGTCCAGTGTCCCCGTGCACTTCACCGACCCGGTAACACAGTGCGTGGACAGGAAGCGCGAGAAACACGGAGAGTGACATTGTGACATTTCAAGTTAGAGCAACAGTGATGAGGCTGAATCCACACAGCCCGCACAGATAAAGCTTCATTGGGAATGTATTAAGTTTTATTTTGAAGAAAGAGTTTGTTTTTATTTATTGTGCCATCATAACTGACTATTTTAGATTTAAATATATTTAAATACATCGCCCCGAGTCCATTGTGTGAACTTATGTGGAGTTACAAATACCTAAGCAGATAAATCATAGTATATCTTCTGTACTGTGTGGCCTTTAAAGCCGAGTTTAATACAAGGTAAAGAGAGTAGTGGGGTGTTTGGTTAGAGGGGGCAGTGATTTAAGGATGTAGGTCCCACGTGGTCTTGCCTGGTCGTGCTGTTTGTGACCTTTCCTCCTCTGTCAGCCCCACCCCTGGCTCTCTTTACACATCCATGAGGGGAACACAGTGTTTTTTTTCTTTTTAACTCATGACAGAAGAATGTCACACTTTCTCTCTCGAGGACTGTGTGTTCCTGGTTGGGGCAAATGTTTGAGGTGTCCTAATTTCATCACGGCTGTCGTGGTACATAAAAAAAACAGTCAGCTTTTAACCTGAGGAAAACAACTTTATATAAGCCGAACTATGTTATCCTTATAGATATCCTTATAGAGCCATTCTCTTTTGATTTAGGTCAGTTCGACACCACCTGGAAGCTACGCACTGACTCTAAAGGCTTCTTCATCTTACTTAGGGTCAATATTTTGCAAATTAAAGTTGTGTAAACTGAGCTGACATTACCCTCCACTCCAATTAAGTAAAATAAATAAAATAAACTGCATTTCAGCTTTAAGTGAAAAGTGTTTAAATGGTGAATTAACAGCCAGAAAAATCAATATTAAGTGCTTAAAGTAAACTAATCTAAAATATACTGAAAATGTACAATTAAAAAACTTCAAACAGCTCCTTAATGATCAATAAGATTACTAATAATAATAAGTGTAAGTATAAGTGATAATGGGGTCATGACCTGGCACTGTCGCCTCTGCATCAGCCGGTGCGTTTAAGTAACCTGGTTGTTGTCGGCTTTCTGCAGTAACCTGATTTCTTAATGTAAACCAGAAACCCGGTTTCCTTAATCGGGGTAAGAGATTAAAAGAAACCCGGTTAACACAAGTAGACTTTTGCTGAGAGAGAGAGAGAGAGAGGGAGAGGGAGAGAGAGGGGGAGAGAGGGGGAGGACAAAAACTTGATCTGTTGGCCACTCACACACGTAACCATGTTTGTTTGTAAGGGTGACCGACACATGAGGACGTTCAGACAGTGACGGCAGTGTGGAGGGATGAGGGCCAACAGCTTTACATGGAGGTGCAGACCGTCTATCTCACATAAATATAGAAATAAATAAATACAAAGTGGGAATTAAAGTAAAATGAATAAGCACAAATCGTTTCTCAACAGCCGGACACACAGTAAGTAAATGTGTCGTTAGTTAATAGCCTGGGCCTACTGTAGCCTCTCATCATTAATATGCTATTAAATACAGCCTATGGAACATTGTTGGTCTCTGGTTTACAGGGGAATGTGATTATTGTATGTGCGCCTGAGGTTTGCAGTGCAGGTTATTAAAGTGTGTGACCAGCCTCTGCCCCAGCACACATTTTGAATATTTTACCACACTTATTTCCCTGCAGTGCCTCTAAAATCATTTTAAATTAGATCAATTAGAACCATCATTAGTTTTTTGCATTATAAATTAAAATTATGTTTGTGTAGCGTGACCAAACATGTTGTTTTGCGCCCCCTATAGTTTAAAAGAGTGACATTTATTAACAGTATAGGTTTTATTGCTGTCAAATAACAACTTGGCATCTCCAGGAGCTTTTAGGAATTAAGAAAAAAGACAGTATTGTTTCTACTTGAACCACTTGACGCTCCTCAACGTTGATTTTAAAGGTGCCGTGTTTACAGCACTGTAAGTGTTTAATATTTGGAGATAAAGGTTTTCACATGACAACAGTTGTTTAGCTCTGAGCCAGTGTCCATTCATCAGAGCCTCAAAATACACTCATGTACGTCAAGCGCGCCCTCTAGTGGCCTCAGTGAGTCACAGCAACAAGCTGTGCTGCTTTGCAAAAGGAGTTTGAAGTTCAGTTAACTGTTCTTTTAAATTCCATTTATACAATTATAGATCTGTTTCAGACATCATTATTTGCTCTTACTCAATATTTGCAATGAAATAGAGTAAGAATGAACACTGGAAGCTTACATTTTATTGACTATGCTGTATTTCTGTAAATTTAGATAATGAAGTCAAAAGTCTGACTGTAAATCTCACATTCATACAAGGTAAAATGTGACTGTATTTCATTGCATCAGTTTACTTTTACTGTTTTGTATCTACCACAAAGTTTGTTTTTATTCACACCAAACCTCAGATATTTCAGTTAGTTGTAAGTATAATCATTTAAAATGCAGTAGGCTACAGTAATAATGTAATGCTGGAAGACATATCATTAAACCAGAATTTAGAGCACAAACATTTTATCTGTAATCAAAGGAAACTGTTTATTTTTCCTTTATTCTTTAGTTGCAATTCTGTTTCAGTTCTCCTCACTTACGTAATGAGGTCAAATGGAGGTGAAATGCTGCTGTTGGATACATAATAAAGAACTGTACTCACTCTTATGGTTGACTAAACATTCCACTTTAAAATCACAAAATGTATTTGCTTCATAAGTATGATTTTAAAGACACCATAAAAACAACAAGAAAGATTCTCATGATATGGAAGCCAAAAACTGCCATGCTTTGCAGTTTTTTTGTTAAATACTCGAGATCACGAGTTCATTTATCTCATGATCTTAAGAAAAACCAAAAGGCAGATTTCTTGAGATAATGAGATCATAAATCACGAGAAAGCTTCTTGTCTGGAGATCACATGATAATTATGGTGAACTCAAACATGAGTGTCTGGTTCAATTTATCACAT